ATGAATTTTTTATTTATTAATCCAACAGATTTTCATTAATTTAAATGTTATTTTTAGTGGATACTCAAATTTGAGTAGATGCTCCATTTATTTACTAAACGGTATATTTGTTTATTTCTTTTTCTCTACTGGCCTGAATATTTGAAAAATCTTATTAAATAAAAAAAAAGAAAATCTATGACAAGAAGGCTTTTGCTTAAAGGTACTCTTCAGACCTTACTTGACTGGCAAAATTTCTTTGTTGCCAAGTTCATTAAGGCATGCCAGATCTAATGACAGTTTTCCTCTGCCCAGAGGGACAGATGTTCAAATCTTGCCAGAGAGTACATATTTTTCTTTAATGAGATTTCTTGAATATTCAGGCTGGTAGATGAAAATAAATAAATATACTGTTTAATAAATAAATGGAGCATCTACTCAAATAGCAATAACAATTACATGTATTTCATTATATTACACACAAAAGTTCAGAATTCAGAACTTAAGCAGAAGCTACTAAATTGATTACACAATTAGTTCCCTTATTATTACACTTATTTTAATAAGTTATTTTTAAGAAGATTTCCTTTGTTGTCTTTACTTTGATATCAAAATGCTAAAATAGAAAAAAGCCTCAATCCATGCTTTGCAGATCTCTGAACTTAAACTAGAAGCTACTGATGAACTGTCAATTTCTTTATCACTACATTTCTTGTGAAGGTTTTGTTTAATTACTCTGAAAAACTTATTCTAGACCAAAGGTCAGCAACCTTTTGCTCTATGCTGACTTAGGGTTTTAAAATCATTGTACCAATAGCATACTTATTTTTATACAAGTGAAGGTCAATATACCTGTTCTACAATATATTTTATAAATAATATATAGTATATATATTTAAGTATATATTAAAATTGAAACAGCTAAATATCTTCTCTGTATTGTAATAGTTATTGGTGTAGACTTTGTGATGTCATTTGTTGCTGCATGCCATTGGAAATTGCTCGGCATGCCACATGTGGCATGAGTGCCATAGGTTGCCAACCCCTGTCCTAGACTGCAGTTTTATTTCTTCCAGCGTTTCTTGCAAGACACTCAAGATACCTTTGTCTATTAAGTGATCGTCTTACTTCAACTTGGTCTTGAGATTGGCTTTGTTGCCGCAATCTTTGTTGTTTTGATGTTAATCTTTTTCTTTTGTTAGGCATTTCCATTTCAAGTCATTGGAAAGTGAGGATTAATCAGTTCCAGCCTAGATACGGCAGCAATACACTATTTTTGACTTAATCTGACTCTTGTAAAGATAAAGCAGGGCAGGAAGAGTCGGGCACTTCCTGGGGTAATAAAACGAGCTGATCATTCATCCAACATCTTTAGCAATGGATCATATATGAATTACACTTGTAGTCTTAAGTGAACTTGAGGCCCAATAGATGTCCGAAGTATGGAGCTATCAAAAATTACAAACCAATTCTCCATTATTGAGCTAGTAGAGCTTGGTCAGAGGACATTGCAATGATGATATAAGTAAAACCTTAAACTAATCAAATCTATTTTAAATACATATAACACTCATTTCTATTTAAATTTAGAACTCTTAAAGTAAGACTAAGAGTGCTTTGAAGAGGATCACAGGTTTCAGGGTTTCCTATTATTACAAGTTTATGCAAATTTTAACTGAGATTTAAAGTGTACAAGATGTCTTTTCCTAGACAAATGCCAGAAGAAAAATTAACTCCAATATCTATTTCAGTATTGTGTGTGTTCAAATTTAGTTTATTTTTCTGTTTAAAACATTGCTATTATTAGAAGAAAAATATAGTTCATTTCAGTTTAAGATAAATAAGTCCAAAAGGAATTTTGATCAATAAAAAAATTAAATAAAAAAAACCCTTCTGATGGATCTCAACAAAAACAAAAATATTGCAAATGATCATAAAAATAAATAAAAAAAAACTAATAAAAATAAAATTAACCCCATAAATTGTTCAAGTAGTCCCATAGTTGACTCGATTGTTTTTTTTTCAATAACTTCAAAAAGGAATAAAGAATGTAGGTACACATGCTATGCCTGTATCAGCAACTGCAAATGGATTTGAATTTAATTTAAACAAATTTCAATAACTTAGTTATTTCTTTAAAAGATAAAATAAATTAAGAGACAAATGTAAGCAAAATATCAACATACTGAAGAGTAGGAAAAAAAAAAAAAAAAAAAAAAAAAGAATGGTAAACCACTGCTGTACAAATTATAATCCAATTATCTCTAAATTCAACAAACTAAAAATCAAATGAAAATTGAGTAAAACTGTAAGACACAAATGTGTGCACACATGCGCTTGACAAAGTGAAATTAGTACACGAAAAATAAAAACGTATGTTGACATACAAGTCAAACTATTATTCAATTACGTGTAGTAAAAAAAAAAAAAGATTTTCTTCAGGGGATAGTAATACAATTTTGACTTTGGATTTTTATCATTTATTAAAAAAAAAGGCAGCGTATTTACTTGAATCAATTAAATTTATTTTATTTTGTAGGGCTTATGAAGATAGAAACTAGTTCTAATTTCTGAAACTCAGTTTAATAATTGTAAGGTAAGATATATCAACAAATCAATCATTTTACACTTACAGGCACGGTGATAAACAGTCACAAACTGAGTACATGACAATCCACTCTCCCAGGAGTTGGCCAAAAAATTGCTGCTATCGCTGGCAATGGATATATAGCTGCTATCCACTACCAATTCAAAAGGAGATCAGTTATTTTATTAAGGAGACCATTCCTTTTTTTTTTTTTTTTAGACAAATGTTCTGTCAATGTACCTTGACAGTTAACATCTCAAATTCTCAATATTCACACAATGAAAGGAAAGGAGGATATAATTAAAAGTCAATTAATAAATTGTATCATCTTTTCCTTTCTTCATTCAATTCATTTAAAAATAACCTTTTTTTTTTTAGTTTTATTACTCAACTGTGCTTTTATTTTTATTTTCAGCACACCGAGTAGTGAACAACAGCAGGAAAACGGGTAATTGTTTTTGTTATGAACAAAAAGAAAAAAAAGGAAAAGTGTATTTACTAATAAAATAACGGTCAAATTCTGGGTCTAGGACTATTATTTTATTTATTTTTTTTTTTTAGTATTTATTATTACTTAATGTTCAACCTACACAAACATGCAGTATAGCGTAAAAACCCGTACAACTATGTGGTAAACTAAAAAAGCCATAATAATTGCAGTTTGAGTTGTATAATAAATTATTTGAAAAATGAGGGCTGTAAACGTTTGAAAACATAGAACAGAGATAAATTTCCTAAATTATTTCGTTCATTGATGAATATAGTGCGCAAAGGGAGGCTGCTTGGTATGTCATTCATTGACTTGTTAAAACAATAAACACTTTCAAACAGTTGTAACGAAGGTTTCTTATAAAAAAAAAAAAAAAATTCCTATTTTCCAATCCTTAAACAATATCGAAATTGTATCATTATGCACCTTAAAAATCCAGTTTATGGTTCACCTGGGCCTTTATTTTTGCTGAATAATAATCCTGAATAAACAAGCATTGTTGATAAATCTTTTTAGCTTTCAACTTTAAAAAAAAAAAAAAAAAAAAACGTCGTCTTATGTAGGAATGCTCTTACCAATAAAATTTCAAGAATGTAGATTTTTTTAATGTTAACATTATTAAAGCTTTATAAAGAAAAACATTTAAAACAATCAAGGTGATTTTCAAATTTCAATACTGACATAGTGGAAAACAATGAAACAAATGTCCCATCATGCCATTTAAAAATACAATTCATCGTAACTTGACTAGTACTGTTAAATTGTAAATGTGAAAGACGAAATCAAAGCCAAGATTCTTGCTTATAGGCTAGAAATTACACCACAATGACTTTTTTTTAGTTTAAGCAAAAGAGAAGGTGATGCTTGTCACCAGTCAGTAGTAGCAGTTTAAATATTTTATGAAAATTTTTCTTTGAGTATCTTTTAGAGTTTCATTTAAGGAAAAATATTCCCGAAGCTGTCGCAAAATAATTTTATTTCTAGAGCGGTAAAGGAAATTAATTTTAGCGAGTCTAAGAAGATTATTTAACTAAAAAAAAATAAAAATAAAAAATTATATGAAACTCTCTCTAGTATTGTTTGATGACGGTGTCAGCAGAAGAGATTACAGCAACAAATTTCATTTTTTACCACCAATATTTTCTACAACTAAAAGAAACATAACATGTGCAATAAAAAAAAAAGTTAAAATAAAATAATGAAATTGCTTACGTTGAAGAAAAATTGTTTTTTTTTTTCAAGACAATACAAGATAAAAAACAAAACAAAACTCTTAGTCTTCCTTGTATCAATTTTCTAAGAGTTGTGGAATGCAACTCAAAGGAAAATGAATTTGAAATTAAATCTTTTAAGACGTCATTTATTTTAGAGATAATATTCTAAGATTAATTGCAAAATGTGAAGACGAAGACTTGACTTAACGTCTCTTCATACAAAAGCAAAATGAATTAAATAAAACAAATCGTACATGACAAAATACTCTTCCGTGGCATGTAGTACTCAAACTTGGTTACAATACATGAATAAAAAATATTTAAATACTGAAAAAAATTCACAAAAAGAATAAAACTGAACATATGAATAATGAAAAATCATTTGTCATAACTCAGAAATAAGGTTTCGTTCTGGTGTTGCTAGCTAGAATGATGAAAAAAAAAAAAAAAAGGTCATAAATTCTCTTATTTTTCGGATTTGATAAATAAAAATGTAAAACTGCATTAAACTCATTTCAATTTCATCATAGCAGAACCATCCGGTATGATTCAGAAAATAAACAAGTACTTAAAAAAAAAAAAAAAAGAGCAATGACGGAAGAAAAGTAAAACTAAAAACAATTTTAGAGACAAATATTAATATTGTCGTCTGCTACTTTAACAATTTGACATAAAAGGTAAAATGTTTCCATTTTAAAGAAAAATATTTAAATAGAAAAATTGAACTGACCTGATGTTGGCTTTTTTGAGTTCCAATTCAAGAGATCGCAAAAATATATCAAAGAAACGATGTATTGTAAATCCTCGTAAACGTAAAAAAGGAAAGTCTTTTAGTTTTAAGAGTGAATAACAGCCGAGGAGAATTTTAGAATGGTAGCAAGTAAAAAGTAAATGGATTAAAAAAAAAAACAAAACAAAACGGGATATTGATGTATGTGTGCGTAATGTTAATTATTTTTACTGTCGGGAATAAATGTTATCAGAATGTGCATTAAATGATGACCGTGATAGGTTGAATAATAATGGTTAGAATTTTATTCTCAATCAATGCAAAATGTTTCACCATATACAGAATACTTTCTTTGTCAGACGGTGGTTGTTTTATGTTTTCGTTTCTAAAATGTTATTGGTCAGTTCTTAATATTTTCGGTGTAAAACAAAGAAGTCTCGTAGTTATTAACTACGTTTTTGGCAAAAAAATCTTATTTCAAATAATCCGTCTTCTTTTTTTTACCTTCCTCCTCAGGTTAGAATCGAAAAAGCATCTCGCTATTTACTGATGATGACCCCCCCATGCTTATCTGAGTCGGACTGACACACACACACACAAAGCCTGTAAAGTGAAATCAAGCTGAGATAGGGGGAGGGAAGTATCGTCTTAGTCTTAATATACTTATATTATACATATACGTAGGTGTATATAAACAAGATGGCGATATATATAAGAGGTTTGTGCAGAAAAATAGAAATTTTACGTGATCCCACCAAAATCCGGAAGTAGATTTTCAGATCATATCCGGCTAAATATTCACTGCAGAAAATATAATTTTAAATTTTTGCAAAAGTTAATTAAATTAAAACCAGTGATGCTTCTAGATTAAAATATTAATTATTCATTGTCACTGATTTTAAAATAAAGAAATAATCTTAATACACAAAATCAATTTATGTCTAAAAAAGTAAAAATCTGCATATTATGATTTAATATTTAATTTAAAAATTTAATATTTTATCATGATTAATTTACTATAGAAACTTAAAATTATTTATTTATTAAATGAAACTTTTTTTTCTTTCTTTAACTGCCGATAAGATATCCTTGCAAGTGAGCCAACCAAAATCTTCCATTCTCCTGTTCTGTTGAATGTAACCAATTAGAGTAAAGCAATAGGTCATGTGATCTCTTACTACGTCATTGTTCAACGGTTATTGTCTCTAACTTTGTAATAGACGGGTCGGTTGTCCGTGCAGATTGTATCTTATTAGATTTACAGAAAGAATATCATTATTGGATATTCTGTGTTGGTGTTATACTTTTCATAACACTAACACATTCTTTTAATTACATGGAGCCGTATATCGACACCAACTTTTCTAATTAGTAATTCACTTTACCTACGAAAACGGACTTATTCTTATAGACAAAAAAATGGCTGACGCTGAAGAAGTTGTTGAAGAATACCGCTCCTCCTTAGCTGATCTAACCATAAACAGCAAGCCGTTGATCAGTATGTTGACAATGCTCGCCGAGGATCACAGCCAATATGCACAACACATCGTTCAACTGATCGAGCAACATTTACAAAAGGTTTTACTTTATACATTTTTTTCTGTTAGGATTTATAACCTTCCTCAACATCGGATTTTCCCTTGTGGCCGCCATGTTGGGCCTATAGTGTAGTTGCGTTTTCTTAAGTATGTATAACAAAAACAGTGCAAGTTAATAGATTATTTATTTACTTAGTTTTAATGCCATTAATTATCTATATGAATATGATAAATTATGCTATTTCTTCATTTGATTATTGCTACTATCAGCAGATGTCATTTATAGCAAAGTTTATACGTGGTCTCACAATTACAGATGGCATATTGTTTACCATATGTGGATGGAATTGTGTACTATTTTCCATTTGATATTTTCTTATAACTCTTCTCTTCATAAATGCATACATACTGCCTTCTGTGGAAAATTTCGGTTTTGTTTTTTAACTGTGATTTCATTGAAGCTAGTATACATAAATATTGAATTTAAAATAATGAATCACTCCAGTAAGTTATTTAGAATTAGATTATCAACAAAAACTACCTGATTTATTTGCCGTCTTCAAAATTAAGCTGCGTTTAAAGTAAAATAATTTATGCAAGTTGTACATAAACTGTACCCGATAAGGAAAAAATACTTTTGTATTTGCTATATCAGTATTACTAATGTTAGTAACAGGAAGTTGTGGAGGGTCATGATCGGCCACATTCTGAAGGGCCACAGCATATTAAGATAATGATTTATTTTCTCTTTTATTGTCTTATTTTTTAGTATAAAAAAAATAAGAGTATGTTAAAATGTATAAGACTTTATTTCCAAAATGGCGGTGTTCATACGCTACTAAAATAACATCGTCTAGCAACAATATAGGTCAGACAATGATTTATCTACGCCTCTTCATTGTGACCTTCATCTCTGTCTTTTAATGATTAAGAGTGTTTTGTTAAATGTTTTATTTCTTACTCTAGCTCATTAAGACTCAAATTTTAATTGGTCGATTTAAATACTTTTAAGAACGAACCTGCTAGCTTCACTGTGCAAGATGGTTCATTAAGGTCTAGTGTACTTTTAACGTGCATTATATTTTTTCGGTTTCGATCTTAGCATTTAAGATATTTGGCCGAGTTGTTTCATTAATATGAATTTTAGTATTTATTACTTGTAAATTCAAATTTCGTATTGATAAAATATTTTCTCCAGTGTAACATTTATTTTTTTTATAAAATATTTACGCTAAAAAAAAAAAAAAAGCCTTAATTGGAATTTAGATGTAGGTTCGTTCCACGGAGAAAACTATTCGCTAAATATGATGGTGACTAATATTTTTAATAGTATTATTGCATAATATTTGAACTTGTCAAATCTAAAGCATATGATACGCAAGCATTATTTTTTTAAATGATGAGCGTCTATAGCAAATCATTGACGATTTTGCTTTTTGTGTATGTTAAAAAAAAAAACAGTTGGTTTCGCTACTTTGCATTACTATTATTCAGCATATGACCACACAAACACCACTAAAATGTGGATGGAATTTCTAACTAATTTAAAGCAAAGATTGAAAATATTTTATAACTGTCTTAGTTTTGTATAAGCAAATTAATTAAACTTTAAATTTATTTTAGTTTGTGCGTGTGAAAAGTGTACAATACGTACGGGAGTATTTTTCATCGACCTCCATAGCATCCCAAATTATCAGTCTGTAAGTGTTAAAAAATTGGTTATCGATCAGTTAACAAAGTAATATCAATTTTGATTTTAATAAAATGTATTTTTATTTATACAACTTAGAGTAAAGCATCAGCTTCCAAAACAGTAGAAAGTAAGTTTTGTATTTATAAAATATTCCTTTAAAAATCATAAGCATTTTGTTGATGGAACATTACAGTACTCGGAATTACTCCTTGATCACATTCAATACTTCTTTTTTTTTTTTTTTTTTTTTTCCTCGGGGGGGGGGGTACTCTAAATTGCTTTCCACTCTACTACTATTCACATATTCCCGTTTTATTTTATACTTAAATATACATGGCAATTTCACACTTGCAAAAGTAGCCGATGAAACAATGTAAATAGTAAAATCATAATCTCACTAGGTAAATAAATGCATCCTACTTTAAGTTTAAAGATCTCTTGGTAGTGTTCAGATTTTTTATACATTATGATTTGACACAGGGTATAGTTTTTTTTTCTTTTTTTTTTTCTTTTTTTTTTTTTTTTCGCTCTCTCTCTCTCTCTCTCCCCCTTCTCCATGGTCAATAATAAAAGTACCTCCCTCCTCGCATTGCCATACATGCATGTTTATTAGAAAATGCAATATTTTGTGCTGGGTGTATAGATTCTGGAACGCTAAGGTATGTATAATTAGAACTTAAGTGAAATGAGGTTATTAACTTCAATATAGTTTTTTCTTATTAAAAGATATACTAAAATATTTTTGTGGTCATCTATAAAAATAAATTTCGATCGCAAAAAGAAGCTGAGGCTATTCATTCACTTATCTCCTCTTGGATGATTTCCCATTTCATTAGCCCATCCAACCCCCTAAAAATGTACTTTAATTTAGATTACATTTCAAATTAATTGTTACAAGAATTAACATGTAGTAAAAACTGAAAAACAAGTGAAAATTCAAAATATTATTAAAATTAGTTTTTACTTCCTACAAATCTTATGCTAAAACTTTTATATATATTTAATAAAATTAAAATGGTAGCGATTTTTTTTTTTCTTTGTTGGGGAATAAATACTCAACTTTTCTACAAGTTCAAATATATTCCATGAAAATTTGATTCTTATATTGTGACAGGTAAGTTTTAATTTTTTTGAACACTTAACTTTGGCATATATTTCAAAGCAGCAATAGGGATAGTATCTGAAATATTTTTTGCAAAATGTGTTCATTATATGCATTTGAATATCTTATTAGTAATATAACATTCTGTTTTAAATTATTTACTCTATTGTTCCTTGTAAATGAATGAGCTTATCTTGTATTCAAAATAATTTGTCTGCAATATTAAATATTTTGCTGCTAATCTCTAAGATTTTAATAATACTAATATCCAAGTGGGACTTCATAACTTGAAAGTATAGGAATTATGATTGAAAAGGACTTTGATTTACATGGAATTTGGATTGACCTGTGAGTGAATTTTAAGGTTTCATTCATTTACAAAATTGAGCTTTGTGTGGATGTAATGTATTTTTGAGTTGGTGACTTTTCTACTTTGTCTATTAAGATATCTCATAAATGCCAATACGTGTTTGTTTTCCCAATAATGCTCTTCCCTTTCCGGCTATTAACCAGATTGATATCCTGTGAATTGAATGCCAGCAACACCAGATAATTATTGGAATGGTACCAAGAGTCCATCAGTAAATAGTTAAGCCAGTTTTATATTGGCTTCCTTTGTTATAATATATGCACATGTAAAAAAAGAGCTTAATACATAAACTTCAGGGGTTTTTTTTGTTTTGTTTTTTTAAACCAATTTACATTTACTGTGCTTAAAGTCTTCTGATTGAATGGTTCAAGATTCAGAACCAGACTTTCAGACTATGAATAATTCCAGGAATAATGCATTATCCTGCAGATTGATGCTTATAGATTTTGGTTTATTTTTATTTTATTTTTTCTTTGTTATAAAAAATTAAATGAAGTTTTTGTTAGATTTTAAAATTCCTTGAAAAGTTTCACCACCATCCCAAGCTGGTTATCAAGATTTGCTGAAAATATACCAAGAAGGTTCAGCTGGCATTGATTGGAGAGGAGTTAGTTATTGTATTAGTTGTTTGTAAGAAGAATAAATAATTGCCAGTCAATTTGTCTTGCCTTTTCAGTATTTAACGTGAGCTTGCTTTGTTTCATCAGACACTTGAAACTGTCAGTTTAGTATGCAACAGCTTGCCAACGTTATTAAAGAAATCTTCTTTACAAAACTAAAGCCATCCTTTTCAATTGAAGAAAGTTGCAGATAAATTTGTTTTTTCTATCTTGATCAAAATATAACATTGGCCTAGTTTTGTCTTGATCTCTTTAATAGTGAATGTGCTAGCTTGCTCTAAACTTTGACTTATGCAGGGTTCTCAATTATTTTGTTAGATGGTGATTTGTATTTCTCTTTCTCTCTCACTCTCTCATTCTAGTAACAACAAAATGGAATGATTTTATGTTTGCTATTTTTTTAATTAAAAAAAATGGTTAAAATTTTTGCAAATTGTTTTCTTCAATCATTTATACATCACTTTTTTGTTATGCATTTCATAAAATTTTCCACTGTTGTTACTCTAACCATCTATTGTTGAGAACCCTGCTGACTTTTTCTCTTTTTTTTTTTTTTTTTTTTTTTAAATTTTCTTCTCTCCTGCTATTAACATCCCAGATTTTCATGCTTCGGATGAGTACAGCCATTTCATCACCTGACAGGTGGACTGATTGATTCATCAGCATTTTTGGAGAGTACATTATTTCTCAATATTAAAGTGTTTCAATAAGTAAGGAACTTTTTGAAAAGTGGTTTTAGAGATTCAGCATATTGATTTGGATGAAATTTTTACCTTGAGGCTTTTAAATATTTGGATTGATATTTTATTGCATTTCTTCAAAGGCAGTGAAATGATCTTTCAGAAAGTTGTATGTTAGAGTACATCCTATTTAGGAAACATTGGAGTCTGGCAGACATAATACAAGAGTTATGGACTGCTGAAATTGCTACACAAGTTAAATGTTTCTTTATTTATTGAAACACTTGTAAACAAAATTTTTTTTTTTTTTTTTTTTTACATGAAAGTACTTTCCTACAAACTGTTAAGCCATTTATAACATCATTTGGCTGATCTCTAAAACAATCAACTGGATATATCAGGTAAGAGTAACTGGATATTTCTTACCACACTTTGTCACAGTTTTAGTACAAATGTCTTCAATGTATCATCCATTAGTCATTTGTGCACCTAAAATACCTCTGCACTTCCACTTGTTCAGAATTAACTCTTTTGCTGAATTTCCAATTTGAATCACTTTAAATTTGTTCCCTGTCCAAATTAGTAAAAGTTAATTAAAAGAGAATGACTGCAAAAGAGTCCTGTTGTACATCAGTATTGTGCAGTGATGTGCAGGTCTATAACTGAGTATCCAGTTTACCCTTAAGAACTTTGTAAATCTTATCAAATTATGCAGAACTCAAAAATGGTTTCAAATTTAAGGTCTGAAAAATGCTTGTCTCATCTCTGATGGACAGCATAAAACCTATTTGGGTTTTATTTGTGACTTTTTAAATTTTGTTCATAAATTTCTAGTAAACTTCACTTTTTTCCTAAAGGACTGACTGACAGATTTTAATGTAGTTATTCTTATGTTTTTTCAGGTGAAGCCTTCACAGAAGCTCCCAGTTCTGTATTTGATTGATTCAATTATAAAGAACCTGACAGAATATGCATATTCCAGCCTATTCAGCAAAAATACATAGTCTCTATATTCTGTGATACCTTTCAAAAGGTTAGGCATAGCTTCAGTGTTTTTCTCAAAATTGTTTGCATTGTTTTCCATGAAGTTAAATAAAATTTTAGACTAATTCAAAGAATAGTTGGAGTTTAACATCTGTATAAAAAAAAATTACATTGTTTAGTGAAGTTTATTTTTTTTTTTTATATATATATATATATAGCTGGAAATGCTTTTTCTGGAATGCTCTTGTAAATTTCTTACATTCTCAATTTATTTAATCTTTCAAATACTTCCTTTTTATAATATTTTAGTAGTACAAGTGAAAAATCAATTTAAAGTTTTTCAGCCTATTTAGATTGTTAGAGTAGTTTCAATGGCTTAATAAGCTAAAGCCACATTAATATTTACTTGATCTTAATTTCTAAAAGAAATATTTTGAAGACTGAGCAACTGAAGAAGGCAGATGAGCACTTCATACTAAATCTGCAGATTCTCTTTGGTACCTAGGTGGATGAAAGAACACGAGGAGCAATGTACAAACTTAGACAGACTTGGCAGATGTATTTTCCAAACCCGAAGCTTTATGCACTTGATATGCGTGTGAACATGATGGACCCAGCTTGGCCAATCATCGCAGAACCTCCTGAACAGGGAAACATTCACGTCAATCCACGGTTTTTAGTACAGGTAAACGACAACAGCCAGCTCCAGTTGATGACTGATTTTATACTCTTCTTGACTTCCTCTTCCTTTTTTTTTTTTTATCTTTTTTTTTAAGTTGCTCTAGTCACAATAAAAGTTTAGGCAACTGCATTTTCAGACTTGTGTAGTCAAGTGGCTACATTTTGTCTGCTTATGTGTCTGTTCAATGTGTGTCTTGTCTATCTTCTCTTATATGTAAACTGTTAAATTGGGTTTTTTTTTATTTCCATATTGGGTTGGTATTTTTTTCAATTTAGTTATGACCAATTTTAATTACAGAAGGCCAGTATTCCTGCAATGTTGTCAAATAAAATCTGGCATTCCTTTTTGTGTCCACTTTTTCACTGAGCTGATGTTGCTAAATTGATGCATTGGTTAGAGGAAACAATAAAGGAAAGTTTGTGAATATTCCCTTCCTACTTGACCCTTTTAACACTTTTTTTTTTTTTCCCCCTCTCCTCCTCCTATCTCTACTAAGTAAGCTTACTGCCTGGTTTATTTCTCTGAGTAAAGAGAATGGTGAATTGTCAAAGCATTTTTTTCCCTTGGAGGAGGAAAATAAAATCTTTCATGGATGCTACTTTTGCTAATTTATGTTGCTATGCAATTGAGACTGGGTTGGGTCTGCTTCATTAAAAGATGAGTATTTGAAGTGAGCAGATATGGCCAGCACAGGTTTGTACAACCCCATTGCTGACAATCTCACAAGAAAGGAGAATAACCAACTCTGAGCTAACAAAAGGTTGGTTTTTTTTTTTTTTTTTTTTTTTTTTTTTTTTTTTTTCTTTTGTCATCATCCAACTTTTAAAAAATATTTACACCACTTTATTTTTTTTATTTATTTTCAACATGTTTGTGAAAGATTTAGAATTTTGATAGTTTTTAACATATTGTAATTTATGGTAGTGATATGAAGATTAATATTTAAATGATAAAATCAAGGCAGCTGAAATTAAAAAAAAAAAAAAGTAATTGGTTCATCAGTTGTGCCAGTATTATAGCTAGCATTTTTATACTTAAAGAACTTTTTAGAAAGACTAACATGAATTTGTAACTTATCTAACAATCACTTTGAAAAGGAAATATAACTGACTCCATCTCTCCTACCTTTTTCTCTTTCCCCTTTTTTTTTTTTTTTTTTTTTTTTTTTTTTTTGGATTATTTAGTATTTTATGTAATTGGGTTAATTCTCTTGCACATTTTCATTTAATTCCATTATTTTTCCACTTGTCTTTTATGATACTGCTTTTAGTGTTACTATAATAAAAAGGTGAAAAATGCTTTTATGCTAATTGGGGACTGATTTTTGGCTTAATGCTTTCAATGTTGGCGTTTAAGCTAGTGCCATGTAACACTGCATAATTTGCCAAGATAGAAATTTCCCGTATGAAAATGCCTTGTTCAGTCAGCAGGCAGCTAATGATTGCTGTCTTTTCTGAACAGAAAGAGGAGGATGAAGGAACTCTGGCTGAGCAACCAGAAACTTTGATGAGGAAACAGTTGATAGCAAAACAGCAGGAGTTACTTGGCATTCTACAACATCGTATGGACCTTGAAGTAGCAGAACCCCTTCCTAAGGTGGATGCTGCTGTTTCCCACAAACAAGCTGACAATTTCAGCAAGCATCAGGTAATGCCAATGGTGTACTGAATTGTTAGCAAACTATTAAAGGGTAAAGACAAAGTTGGGTTGGTTTGTTGGCATTTGTCCTCTTTCAGTTGGGTTAAAAAAAAAAAAAAAAATGGTTTTTGGGGTTCAGATATTTTTTCTTTTCTTACATTTGTTGGATGATGACTAATGTATGGACTAATTTTCATTTTTCTCTAAACCAACATTACTTGATTGTTTAATATCATTGGAATTAACTGACTAAATTAATTTAAAAAATAATGGTTTTATTTTTGAGTTTACATCTACTTTTTCAGGCCTATATGAGGACATTCTTCATTCCTTACATAACAATTCTATTATCCTGATTCAAACATAAATTAAAACTAGGGGGTGTGGATTTTGTGAAGCATTCCTTTATTTAAGTAACTGCACGTGTGTTTGTGGGTTTTTCTTTTTCTTTTTTTTTTCCTCCCTTACCCAAACCACTTAGTATTGATCAGGCTAGTCATTAATTCCTGTTTCCTCTTGTTCCCTAGGATGATGATGTATCTGTGATAAGCGATTCTACTGTCCATTCCATGAAAGCCTCTGCCATCCGATCTTTACCCTCCATGGTTTCAAGTAAGCCAGTTATGCCAAAGACCTATTCGCCAACTGACACAACATCTACTGTTGTGTCAAATTCTGATAATTCTGCCAAAGCAAAAAAAAAAAAACTACCACTGCCTAAAATTGATCCAGAACTCCCCACTCAGAAATCCAATGATGTAACAGATTTGTCATCTAGTCTGGGACCCAATGTCCACCTACCTTCTACAACTGCAATATCAGGGGTCAGTGTAGTCAAAGCTAGAGACCCTCGCCTTACACGTGACCCACGTCTTGCATCAAGGGACCCACGTAATCAGCTACTTAACCGTCGGGTAGTGATAAATGAGGCTAATTTAGCAATGCCACTGACATCAGCAGCCGATAAAACCTCTCTACTTAATTCTAAATTAGAATCGGCTACAAAAACTACAACAATATCTCCTAGTTTGCTCTCAAATATGCGTAGTCTAGATGCTGTTAAGTCCTATTCAAACACACAACTAGTTACAAACCTGGCAAAAAATAAATCCAATCAAACCAGTTCAGTTCTTAATACAAAAAATGAAAGAGGTTTATTAAATGATAAAAGAATAGTAACCCAAGATTCTACAACAACTGATAATTACAATCAGTCTAAAACCTCTTCCATATTAACCAGTGAACAGCATCCAAACAGTGATTGTGGAAGTAATTACAGTGAAACAAATCACCAAAGTTTTGATGTTAGCCATCTGAGGCCTCCTGTCAAGTTCACAGATACTACTACAAGCACTGGAATGGTTACAGCAGCTGATTTTGACAAACCTTTCTCATCTAAACTAGAAGAGAAAAATATTTCTGAGCAAACTGATATGGAAATTAGTAATACTATTGATATTACTGCAGATGAAATGTCTAATAAAACCCACTCTGATTCAGATGATGTTCAGTTTCTACCCAGTAAGAATTCTAGTTTAGATAAGAGTAAAGACAAGCCAAATGATAGAAACATTTCTCGAATGAGAGACCGACGCAGAGGTAGTGATGACAGTGACAAGGGCCGTCGACGAGATGACAGTGACAGCTCAAGGGATCGAAATCGGTATGGTAGAGATTCAAGAAGCGGCAGTAGTAGGAGAGATGATGATCGTCGTAGCAGGCATCGAGATGATGACTACAGGGACCGAAACACAGACCGATTTGGCCGAGAGCGAAGAAGCAAAGAAAGGTTTAACAGACGCAAGGATCGTTATGATGATGACGAGTATGATCGCTATCAAAGAAGGCGTCGTGATAGATCACCTGTGCGAAATCGATCACCAGAAAGTATCAATTCTCGTGGCTGGCAGCAAGATAATGACAGAAAATCTTATAAGGATTCTAAAGGTGATACATGGAAAAGTTCCTATGATAATTCTGATAACCAATCTTCCAGTGACTCTAATCAGAATAAGATGGGTAACTTGGGACGTAGTCCTAATTCTTCCATCAAAAATTTGCATGTCAACCACCAGCATGGTGGTGCTAGCCCCAAAGATCATCCAGATGATAAAACAAGTATTGGCAAAGGCCTTAAAAGAGATAGGGACTATCGTGAAAATTCCAAATTGCCATCACCTCAAAGAGAACGTGATGCCAGTACCTCACCTAAAAGAATGTGTACAGATCAAGGAATGGAATCGCAGCTTGACAGACATCTTAACACCAAAGAAGACTTAAGGTGGGTTTATTATTTAAGTTCTAGATGTTAACATTAAATACAAATTTTAGATTATTTTTATATTGCTGGATGACTAGTTGCTTTTTTTTTTTTTTCTTTCTTCCCCTCTTGCTCTAATACAATAGAGTAATATAGTAATTTGAAAGCGACTATACAACTGTTTTTTATAAGTTATTTGTAATATGCAGTTTTTAATAATTTCTAATTCAATGTGATATATAAAATATAAATAAGAACTTAATATATAATTTTATAATTGTGTAGTATTTTTAAAATTATTTTTTTTTTTTTTTTTTTTCCCTCCAGTGATTTGTTTGGCAAGGTTGACCAAGATTATAGAGTGCCTCCCAGTAATATGACTGACCAAAGAATTCCTTATATGAGAAGTGGTAGTCATTCAGGATGGGCAAAATTCAAAGCTGACCATCCTGATGACTTTATTTCAGATGAAGGTCCAGGATCTGCCATGGATATTGATGAAAGATACAAAGATGTTGACATGCGTTGGAATGCCAACAACAGGCCTGGTTGTGTTGGTAGTCCAATGAAATCATTTTCTCCCCGTGTGGTTGATGGATCTGCAAGAGACAAGCAGGCTAACTTTATCCGTGAAGCTGCTAAACTAGCTCAATCTGGTAAGATTTCTCATGAGGAACATCAGCTGGTACTTAAACAGATTTCTCGGCTACAGAATATGACTTTTGAAGCAGGGAAAATTACAGAAAATTATAGGGTCAACCCGGAAAATGAAGGCAGAGATTTTGATCATAGATCAGTTGAACAAGGTAAACAAATGTCTAAGTGGATGGGAAATGTTTCTGAAATGTCCAGTGATACAAATTCTCGCAGTCCACTTCGAGACAATGTCGTTAATCCTCCTCATATATTAACACGTCCACTTCCCAATCAGGATGGTGATATGAGGGATATGCAACTGCCTAGAATGACCATGAATGTACACCCACCACATCATCCCATTCATCATAATGACATGGGATGGGACCCTACAAACATTATGCATCCTGAGAATATGATGTATGATCTTAGATGGAAAGGGAACACAGTTCTGGTAGACAATGAAGTGTCTGGTGAAGTGGTTGTTGATCACAAACCTTATGAAATCATCCCCAATGGCAAACCAAGAAAAATTAGGCTTCATGGCAAGATGTTTGAAATTCATGCAGATGCACGAGAAAGAGCTATATTTGTAAATAATACTCTGTGCTATAGGTTTGGAGAAGTAGCAAAAGATGTGCAGGTGGATGGCCGATGGCATCGATTTCATTATCATGGTCAGCCCAAAAGTATTTGGGTTAACCAACAGAGTTACGAAGTAAGGGTTGATGCTCCTCCTCGCAGAATCATTCTTGACAAAGAAGAACATTCACTTCAAATTGATGGAAGAGATATGATGATTTTTATTGACAGAATAGAACAGGGTGTATATGGTGGGCCACCACGTAGCATATTTGTCAAGAATATATGCTATGAGATCAGATTTGACCCTCCTCCCAGGCAGATTCTTATTGATTGCAAACCATGTGAATTAAAACTTAACTGCAAAATACCATTTGTTGTGATTGATGGCAAGCCACATGGAATAAGATTTGATGGTCCTCCTCGAGAAATCATAATAGACGATAATTCTTATTTAGTGCCTGTAGATAAACCCATCAAAATTCGCCTTGGCAAACGCCCACATATCTTAGCATTTGGTGGCCCAGCTCATGAAGTAATTATTGATGGAAAGTGGTTTGAGGTTAGATTTGATGGACCACCAGTAGAGGTACACCTTGGAAATCGATCACATACTATCATGCTGAAAGGTGCTTCACCCAATGTCAAAATTCTAGGGGAATTGTCAGTTATGATCAATGAGCCTAATCGACCACAATTTGGTTTCAATGGTGCCAACATGTTCCCTCCAGCTGGCGCAATGATAAATGACTTCAACCGACCACGTGGTCCTGAGAACTTCCAGCCGCGCCCTCCTCACTGGGATCTACCATTTGTTAGACGTCCAAATCATCCAGAACCCATCCCCATGATCAGGCCATCACCTTTTCCACCTGATAGACAATTAGAGAACATGAGATTCCCTGGACATCATGCCTTGCCTCCTGGTGTCATTGGTGCAGCTCCTGTGCAACCCCTCCCTGCTCCTGGTTTAGTCAACCATGCCCAAGCTCCCTTTTATCCTGCTCTCCCTCCAAATATAAATGCAGTCACTCTTCCTCCTATGACTGCTTTACCTCCTGGTTTGGCACCTGTAAGTGCAGAGGCTACTTCAAATGCAGCAGCTCCTATTGTTCCACCACAGTTCCCACAGATAACACTTACATCTGGTAAGTTCATTTTCTTTAAATCTGCTAGAAAAGTAATAGTTCTTTTTGTCAACTTGTTTACATTTGAAAATGAAGCTTTGATTTAACCCTTTTCTCTCAGGAACCTCCAACTTTTCATAAAACCACAAATCATTAGCCATAAGGAAAAATACTAATAAAAATAGTAATTGGTTTAATCAGTCATTTAATAAGTCCCTGTAGTTGATACATATATTTTTTTTTAATCTTTTTTATAACTTTACAAATTTTACTGTGACTAATATTGCAAAGGTTGTGATTATAATATTGTTAATAAAAATAACAGCCAGTCACTATCAATGTATTTTATCTGTAAATTTGAACTTTAAAAAAAAACATAAATAAAAATATATATATATATATATATATATAAATGTACAATATGGTACAATTATTCTCACTTTGGTATTGATATTGAGTTGTAACATGATTATACGATGTGAAATACTAGTTTAAAAAGCAATTTTAAACAAATTGAAATTAAAGGTTCTATGTATTTTTATTAATAGCTTAATTTTGTATTAAATTTAAACAAATAAATACATAATTTTATTTTATTTTTCTCTCTCTTCCAGCCGGAATAGCTAGTGTGTCATGTCCTGGCATGCCATCAATACCCACAGCTCCAACAGCACTTGCTACAGCTGCTAATGTTGTTCCTAGCAGTGCATCTCTTTCTGCACCTAATCTTGCTGCAGTGGCAGCAGCAGCTGCTGCTGCTGCTGGCCAGAGCTTACTGCCTACTAGTGTCCTTAATAAACTAGTGCGCCCTGCTCCACCCATGCGTGAGTATTCCCCCCTTTTTTTTTCTTTCTTTTTTCTTTTCTTTTTTTTGTTTGTGTTGTGGGTAGACAAATAAACTTGAATGCCATAAAGTTGGGTGTGGTATTTATTAGGTTAAGTCCAGGAGTACACAATAAAATCATTTTAATATATAACTATCTTTCAATATTTGAAAATGTTTGCTTAGAAGAAAAAAGCTGAAATATTTTCCCTCCTAAATTTACTTAAAATAAGCTTTGGTGGGAATGGTGACTTTTTATTGCAATATTGACCTTTTTTTTTCTTTTTCCCCTTTCTTTTACCGTTTCAGTTCCTCTTAGTCAGCCACAGCCACCAGCAGCTCCTGCTCCTCCTGTTGATGTATCATGTTTGTTCCAAAAGTTAGTGGATGCTGGTATTATCCCCACTGTTACTGCTGACAAAGACAAAGACAAACCTGAAACGGTTTGTAGAGTTTTGCTTTCCTTTTGCTATACTTAGTAGTTAAACACTGGTTTTTGTTGAATGAGTAATTTGCTATTGATATTCTCTAATGTTTTACATTTAAAGTAAGCTATCAAAAATTATTTGTCAGATAATTAAATTCAAATACTTGGGTATAATCTAGTAATACTAGAAAGCAGAAATAGTAATTAACTGTGAATTGCTGAAATAGTTATTAGGTACCTCCATTAGGTTGCGTAAAAAAAGCAGCATATCATGATGAAGAAAGGCCCATAACTCAACGAAAACAAAGTTTTGTCATCAAAATGTTTGTTATTAAGAGGAAAGACCAAAATGTTTTTTTATTTTTTGAAATTTTTTACTCCTTTCTAGCACTAAAATCTTTTTTGCACGTTTCCACCCCCTTAAATATTTTCATGAAATTTTGAGAAATTAAATTTTTAAGACTTGGATTTTTTTTAATAGCTAAAAACAGGGCTCTTTATAGAAAGTAAATCACCAGTTTTGTTTTTTGTTTTATGTTTTTTTTTAACAGTGGTTTCATAGAAAATCTGCTCTGAATAATAATAATAATGATAATAATAATAATAATAATAATAAAAATGGAAAAAAAACTAACATTATTTAATGCTTTTACTTGCTTTTGTAAATACATTTTATTAAGGATATTATTGTCTGAAGAAATAAAACTTTTGATAAATAATGTATTTGTACAAGAATTTTTTTCATTTTTTAAAAATTTTATTTATTTATATAATATTAAATTATTAATACTTCAAAAATCGTTTAAAATTCTTCATTGCTTTTATCCTTGCAATTCGATGATCTCATTAAGTGAAAAGTAAATTTACGAATCAAAATTTGTAAAGCTCATAAGTCATTTGTACCCAAGTATTTTAAAAATAATTTTTAGTGAAAAAAAAAAAAAAACGTTCATTTCTATCTATGGGGAATCTATACATGACATAATCCTTAAAAAGATCACGTGATTTGATTGTCGTCTGAGGCACTGCAATTATTTCCCTTCAATATCCAGGTCTTTTAAATCGTTAACATGTTTGCAAAAAGTCCTTTCAAAATTTCTAAGTTGGTTTTAATTTTTGTGAATTAAGTTTTTACTAAATATTTTTATTTTAGGTATTTATTTTAGTTTGGGTCATATTTTATTGAAGTAATTTTTTTATTTAAGTTAGTAAGTTGTTAAATAAGATAAAAAGATTAAGAACCTAAGAAACGAAATCCAGACTAAAAAAATTATTAAATAAAAAATAAATATTACATAATTGCTGAATAAGTGTTAATATTTAAAAATTACTAGTTAAAAACCAAAAAAACGCATTTGCTTACTTCATAAAATTGTCAATTTTGATCATCACCTCTTAACATCTCGGTAACATTGATAACGTGAATAAGAACATGAAAAAATTCAGACACATCGTTAAGAAATGTTTGGATAAAAAAAATTTTATGCTATAAGTAAGTAGTGTTTGTTTCAAATCAGATTAATTTAACTTTAAATTTTCTAATTTTACTCAAATAACGTGTCAAAAATATATAATTTATTTTAGAAAGAAGTTTAAAAATTTTTTTTTTTTTTTTTTTTACAAATTTCTTAAAATTTAAGAAAATGGCTGCTTTTAAGAAAATTTTAAAAAAATCGAGCATATATTTGACATTCCAATCTATATAATTTCTATCTGAAATACACCAGAATATGTTACTTACTGTAAATAATAAATTTAATGCTTTAGCTTTCAATTAATAGCATTTTGATGACAAAACTTTGTTTTCATTCAGTTATGGGCCTTTTTTCATCGTGCTATGCTGCTTTTTTTATGTGGCCTAATTGAGGTACCTAGTTAATATGAATTCAGCATTTCATTATTCTTTATCCAAATATAACAAGAACCAAACATGTTATACAGTAATGTTAAATTTTTTTTAATTTTCTCAATAATAATAACTTTGTCTTTTTTCCTATCTTTATTTTCTAGGAAAAGGAACCAGAACCAGAGGTTATTCCTGAGCTCTCTGATTTTAAAATAGAAAAATTGAAGATGTTAGTAAATTATTTTTTCTGATTATTTATTCTCATGATTGAATTTAAGTGACTCAAAACATTTTTTTAATATTATGTTGTCTTGTGTTTTAATGAGACCATCTTTGCATTGATGCCTAGCTTTATATGACGGCTAGATTACTCCATTGTTTAAATAAACTCTCTCGTGTGTGTGTGTGTGTGTGTGTATATATATATATATATATATAAATAAATAGAGAGAGAATTTATTTAACCAGTTAATGGAGTGATCTAGTTGTCAGATAATGCTAGCCAGTATAGTCTTATTGGAATGTACAACTTTTTATATGCTATCACTTTGATCAAGATAAAAAGCAATTATATGTGCACACATTCATCCAATACTCTGTTTATCTTCATACTATGATTTATGGTATCAATGGCTGTCCTGTTTTTTTTATATATATATATAATTCATGAAAAGTGGCTTTTTATCCCTTTATATTTTACATGACAAAAGACATATCTTTACAGTGTACCTTCTAGAAAATAATTGTGCTGTCACAGCAATCAGAAACATTACAAACTTGCAGAAAGTAACTGACTGATTGTAGTTATAATTAACCAATCAATTATTTTAACTTTATTTACAGACGCTATTCACAGTTCATTGAAGAATTATATGATGGTATTCAGTGTTCTTCTTGTGGTATCCGTTTCACGGTAGACGATACGGAGAAGTACAGGGAACATCTGGACTGGCATTTCCGTCAAAATAAGCGAGAGAAAGATGATTATAAAGTTGCCAAATACAGAAAGTGGTACTATGAGATGTCGGTAAGGATTTCTCTATTACTTACACATGCCTGTACATGCATTTTGTGTGGATAAATTAACACACCAAATTTTAATTAAATTTTCCTTTTGTATTTTGTAGCTATCTTATTAAAAAAAAGTAATTATTCTAGATCAATACAAAATGTAAATGTTTATTTTATTTAGATTATTAGGACTATTTTAATTCTAGCATTTTTTTTTTTATACAATAACAGGAGTGGATACAATATGAAGAAATTCAAGATGATGAGGAAAAAAGTGAGTATTAGCACATGAAGCTTTAATTTAATCAGATTTATTCTTTTCATGGGAATGAAAATTCAAAGGGATTTATTTTCCTGCTTTGTGTTTTCTGATCGAAATCTTTCTTAATTTATAATTTTTCAGATCGCAGCAACTTTTTTGAAAATATGTTAAATCCTGTGCAAGAGCCAGCATTCATTGGTCCTCAGGGGAATAAAGTTATCCAATGTCCAGCAGCTACAGGAAATGATACTGATGATGTAAGTTGAAAACAACTTTCTCTTTTATTCAGAATATTATTGTGGCATCAATACATTCTTTTCATTTATGAAGTAATTATTTAAAAGTTTTAGTAAGTAAAAGGAATATGTCTAGTACAAATTCTTATACTTGTTTATAGTAATATTCAGAATGATTACTGTTCAATAAAAGAAACACTGCAAACTGTAAAAAATGTGTTTCTCTCTGCCTATAATACTTTTAGGAAATGTTTTTGGCAAAGCCCACAATCTTTTTTTTTTTTTTGGTGGGGAGGGTTCTTGTATTAAAGAAACTATTAAATTGCTATTATTTACTTTTTTTAAATTAGTGCTTAGATATATATTGCTGATGTAGTTAATCTTTCAAAAATGGAATCTTGTCATTTTATTTGATTGCACTGGTCCCTTTTTGTATTTCATCAAAATTAATATTTTCTTTCTCTGTGTAGGTATGTGAAATTTGTGGAGATCCCTTTGAGCAATTCTGGGAAGAGGAAGAAGAAGAATGGCACTTAAAAAATGCTGTTAGGGTAGAAGGAAAAGTAAGTAAACCATTTAAATTTTTTTAACATCTTATTTTTATAAAAGAATTTTGTTGCTAAAATATAAAAAGGATAACATTTTATTTGTTGATGTTTAAATATATACAGTTAAGATCCACAAATGAATGAGAGAATTTATACTAATACGAAGGGAAAAGTGGAATTTTCTTTATTCCTGATTTTAAAAGTATTTCAGTATTTTTAATTATTTTTGTTTACAGACTTACCATCCAGTTTGCTATGAAGATGTCAAAGAGGTCAGTGGTTTCTTAAGCTTTTTTTTTATTATTGTTATTTTAAATGATGAATTTCATCTGTCATTTTATCTTGAAATTCTTTGATTTTAACATTCAGTAACATAATTCAAATAAAAAAAAATTATTTGTGATTATTTTAAACTTTTTTATTCAGATAAATGTTATTGGTTATTTTTATCTAAATATACAAATATTAATGTTAAAAATATTTGATTGCTGCTGATGATTAACGAGTAAATATTGTCGTAAATTAAAAACAACTTCTCATATATAATTTCTTTTGATTTCATAAAAAGTAAGCATTTTTACAATATTTTTCTAAATTTTACTGTAAAATCACATTTACTGACAACTTCTTATTTGAAAATTAAAACAATTATTCTATTTTTCTACATAAAAAATTATATTATCATTTTTATTTACTGTCATGCCCAGAATTGAAAAAAAAATAATAGTTAAAATAATTACTATTTATTTCTGTATCTAATAAGATTATTTTATACTTTGTAGTCTGTGGATGCATCATCAGTAGATACACCAAGAGAAATCACTGAAAATAATCCTTTGGAAGATGCTTTAAAAACTACCGAAGTAGTGCCTGCAACTAACACCACAAGTCTTGCATCCAACCTAACTAATGTTAGTACTACAACTACTGCCAGTAGCACCACCACTTCACCCTCAACTCTTGCTACATCAGCTCCAACTACTACTATTGCCAAAAGTAATGGTATTCCAGTCACCTCTGAAGCCTCCACTGCCATTGCTGCTGCATCTTCTACTACAATTGCAAGCACCACCAACAGTGGGACTGTCCTTTCTAGTGCAATCAAACCTGCCCTTGCAACTACTCTTCCTTCCAGCACTTTGTCCACTATTTTAGCTGCTGTGACCAGTAGTGAGAAGTCCAACAATGCCCTAACTGCTTTGTTGGCTGATGGTTCCTCTCAGCTATCTCCATCCTCAACAAATGCTGATAACAATTTGCAAGGCAATAACTCTACTATACTCCCAGTGAGCAGTAGTACTGCTGAGGAATTTAACATTATAGCTCAGCCAATCACAACAATTGTCTCTACATCAGGGTTAAAAACTCAAGGCCTGTAACTGGTATCAGCTTCTATCCATAAAGAAAAAGTCATTCATTATTTCATGTGTGAAAAGCATTTGTCTGATAATTTTCACACATACAATGACCTGAACTATGCAAATGATTTTCACTCATCATCTGCTCCTTTAACAGGAACAAAGGTGCTTCACATAGAGATCACCTTTTTTACCACCTTTATAATAATTGAAAATGTTTATGGAATGATCAAGGAAACTTGGACATTTTTTTTTTTTTTTTTTTTTTTTTCTTTCACATTCCTACACATTGAGACACACTCAACAATTTCTCATTGTATTCATGTATATTTGTGCATCTCCATGTTTGTATGATAGGCTCTGACATATGGTTGTATGTGTGCATATAAGTGCATTTGTATAGATGCATGTACATGTCTATGCCTATTTGTGATTGTTTTGAGAAGTGGTGTGCATGTCCAGTGATGTCTGTGAGTGTGATAGGTATTTTACAGGTGGTATTTTCTGTGATATCTCTTACTGTGATGAATTATCCCAAGAAAAGACTGTGATACTCATCTCTTCAATGGCAGCATTGTAAAAGAAAAACACGGGTAAATTTAAAATAAATAAATTATTTAAAAAATAGAAGTTTGTTTTCTTTTAATCTAAAACTGAGACTCCAGACACTTGCAGAAAAATATTCAGTGAGTACAGGAGATTTTTATTCTTGAGTGTTTGAAAATTGATGTGTTGCAGACAAATAGAATGGTTTCCATTTTCTTTTTCTTTTTTTTTTTATCTGCTTCCTGTATTATAAATGTGTGTAATGTCTGCTTAGTTTCTCAACTTATTCTGGTTGTTAATGAATGTGCTATCCATAAGAATCATATGAATGTGAAATAACTGATGTTGCACACTCTCTCTCTCTCTCTCTCCATAAGAAACCCATCTTTTGTCTTTGTATTTTTTTTTTTTTTTTTTTTTTTTTTTCAAATCTTGTTTTGGAGAGTTTATTGATGCTTTTCCCCTTTCAAGGGGACAGAATTTGCCCTACAACGTGTTAATTCACTGCTACTTTCTCATTGTGATTCTATAAAACTGATAGGGCAGCTTTGTAAATATATAAGGTAAAATATCTTAGCTACTTATCAGACAATTTCAGATGGTAGCAATATTCTTAATTAGTAGCAGTTAACATGCTTATTATTGAAGTATAAATACTTAGCATAAAACCATGTTTGGTTATCTTCCACCAGCTACTTGTACATAAAGAATTTCTTGTGAATCACTGAACCATTAGTGTGTTAATGATTTTTTTTTTTTTTTTTTTTTTTTTGTTTGGACAAGATCTATAGTGTGTCTTGTTTCATAATTGAGCTGTGGGTAGGCAGCAATCATTTCTTTAATATTTACATTTATAGTAGTAAAGTTTTCTTAGTAGTGAGTCTCATTTTTTTTCTCAGTTGAATTTTGGGTGGATTTGTAAATTTTTATTTAATTTTTTATGTCTTTTTTATTCCCTTCAGTAACAGACTGACTTGTGTATATCTTGTTCCAATTCTGGAATTGTGTAAACAAAAAAAAAAGGTTTACATTGTTTTTAATAAAGGTTATTTTTCAACATTACAGGTTAGACTTTGTTTGTCAAACTTTACTTATAGTTGACCCTTATTTTTATGAACAATGCATCTGCTTTTAATGAAAATTAAAATAGCAATTAATGAGTTAGAAATATAAGTCCAGTGAACACTTTAATGTTGAAATAAATCTTGATTACGGATTCATTCTTCTGCTGTGACCAGATTACATTGTTATTTTGGGCCAGAAAATATTTCAATAGGAATGACAAACTACTTGTGGAATAATTTATTCACAAATATTTAGATGGGTTACTGATTTGTTCAGTAAAACTCAGGGTCAACTATATTTTGTATTGTAATATTTTTTTAATTGTTTACAGTGCTCCCCCACCCCACCCCCCCAAAATAATGTTTTAGCTAAGTTTAAACTTCAACTTGGTAATGCTTGTAGATCTGTTTTGTTTTTGTTTTTTTACAAAGTATGAAACTAACTCTGTTATATTTGGGTAGATGTATTCAAATATACATTTTGATTGTAAAAAATCTATTTAGATTTCAGGATACATGATTAGTGATTAAGTAAATTGCTTGAGTTTTTAATGATCAATGTCATTAATGATTTTTTTTTTTTAAAGAAAAGTTTGATTGTTTCACAAACCCTTAATATTTACTGGACACCAAGAAAATACTATTAAAATAACTTCAGCTAAAATATGTCTTCAAGTATTATTTTACTCCCTCTTTTAAATGTATTGCTTCAAATAAAACTTCAGCTTACAAAGCATTAACATTGAATTATGATTGAAAACAAGTGAGAAATCTTTATAGATTTGACATGCTTCACTATTTAAGTCCCTATACTTATACATACAATATAAACATTTATTGTAGGATTGATTCAGTATTGTCATTAATTATCCTATGTTGATTATAAAGTTTAAATTTCATGTTGAAGACTTGCTAATTGAACTAAATAATTACAATGTTAACTGGTGAATGTTTTATTTTTAATTGACTCCTAATTTTAGAAAGGTTTACATAATGTTAGTTTAAGACTTTGTCCCTCTGAATATGGTCATTGGATACAATTATGTTTGTCTTTTCTGCCTGACTCTTCATAAAACTAAAATATTCTCCAAAATTATTTTTAAACCAAGATTTTCAATTTTGATTTTGTTCTAGTTCTGGATAAACTTATAACATTGACCCTTGTACATTAAAAATGCATTTTCTATTTAAAAAAAACAAACAAATGAAAACATTTTAGTTTCTCAAATTACCTTTGTTTTTGATCTTAGTGAATTGGTAATTTAAGCTGACAAAATGACTTGCAAAAATAATAGGAAATTTATGTAGGTACTGTTCACTACTAATAACATTGACCTTTCCTTTAATATCCATTATATTGTCTTAAAATGATAAAGAATTATACTATACTCATTTAAATACATTATTTATCTTAAGTAAATATTTACGTTATTAAACATGTCATTATTGTGTGATTTTTTTTTTTTTTTTTTTTTTTAAATAATAATCACTTTCAAGCTACAAAAATAGCCTTAGACAGAATTTTCATATCATTGGACAAAAATGGAAGACAGCAATTTTTTTACAAAAGTGGGTTGAAAAGTTAATAGGCTGACTGAAGGATTGATGCTGAAGCTGTGAAATCTTGCATGGATTAATTTCAACTCCTTAATAACTGCAGTGCTTATGTCCTGTCAAACTGATATCTGACTTCAAATACTTCAAAAGTAACAAATAGTAACTTTTCTTGAAAATGGGAAAAAATTGGCATTGTGGTGTTGTCTAGTACCTGCAGAAAAGGTTTAGCCTCCAGGGACATGGTTGCTACATTATTGGATGATGCACCAGCTTTATCAACAGTGCAAAAGTGGGAAACTGAATTTAGGAGGGGAAGGGAAAGTCTTGAAGTTAATCCAAGGTTTGGATATACTGCCACCAAGGAAAATATTGATTGTGTTTGCTACATGGTGATGGATAACAGGTGATTGATTATATATGCAACTGACAATGCTATTAACATATCCTATGAAAGTTGTGAATATTCTGCACAATTAACTTGACACAACAAAACTTTCTGCACTATGGGTTCGACATCTTGCAGTGGAAACATCCCTTCTCCAAAGAAGGCTACAGTTGTTTCATCTGCAGGTAAAGTGATGGTCTCAGTTTAAGAGGTATGCAAAAGGCATTAACTGTCTTTGAAAGGGCCACACCATCAATGGAGAGACCAAGGCCAAATATCCAGGAAATCTGATGAAGATGTTCTTATTTCATCAGGACAATGCTTCAGCACACACATCCTGGATTTCAATGGCTGCTATGTGAGACTGTGGCTTTAAACTAGCTGATCACCCTCCCTATTTTCCTCATTTGTCTATCATCTGTTTCCCAACATGAAAAAAATACTTGGCTGAGAACCAGTATCACAGTGATGATGACATCAGGATGAAACGTCTTTGAACATTCAGATGTCGGTTTACCTGGAAAGAAACAATGTACTTATTAAGAAGAGTGGGAATTAATGTATGCAAGAGTTCAGAGTTCTAGCATCATTCCTTCATAGTCAGCCTATGAACTTTTCATCCCACCCTACCCTTGTACATCAACTGCAGTCATCTCATCACTCTAGGAATTTTTCTTTGGTTTTTGTTTTTACCCTTTTTGTTATTTATTTTTCAATGAATATTCTTTGCAAGTGATTTTTTTTTTTCCATACAAAATGTAATTATGAAATTTGTCTCCTACATTCAATGCTCACTGTATTTTTAATAAAAACAATATTATAAATAGTTGGCTTAATAAAAATATATAATTTGCAATCCTCCAATTCAATAAAGTTAAGATTTATTATTTAATAATTTTGTTGCTGTCGTCTATAACATTTGCATTAATTCCTGACAACCAGCAATCCTTTTTCAATGACCAACAAAGTGTCAATTTCCTTAACAATTTTTAGTTTAAATATTACAAAATTTGATGGTTTGAAATTTTGACCATTGTCACCAAATGATTAGTTCTCCTCTTGGATGCTAGGTTGTGACATTATTTCTAAGCAGAAAAAAAAAAACTTTTGCATCTCTGTAGTATTGCAGGTGTGTGTATAAATACAAGTAGAAATGTTTGTTCAATTTGAACTGTTTGATTCCATATTGCACCTTTTTAACGTGGTCCAGTAGCAAAATCAAACATTTATTAACAAGCAGGGGAGATAACTATTAGACATAGTGGTCATATTGAATGATCAATCAAGTAATTAAACTTTAATGAGATAAACATTGTTCGAAATACATTCTTCAATATATGTCATAAAAAATTATTCTAATTTGCGTACATATGTACGTGTGCATGCAACAATAAAATCCAAGCTACTTGTTAAACTTCATTAAATTTAATGTAAATAAAGTTGGGATTTTTTTTATTTTTGCTTGAATG